CGGCCACATTTGATTTCCATATTAAGTCCCAAATGCTGCGATCATTGGCTCCCCTTGCTGAGCTGGACGGGGCATGGCCTGATTGGGCAAGATTTGCAGCCAGCTTGTAAGCACTCTTAACAGAGAAGACGCCATTGTTTTCATAGTGCCACGCAAGGCGGTCTTCTGCATCAGAGTTTGGGATAGGAATCTTGCAGATCACATCTGCATCAAAAGGGTAGAAGATTTGTCGTATTAGATCTTCATTCCACTCTTTCCTGTCCGGGAGCATGAGCCGATTCACCCAACGAAGCCTAGACCTCCGGATGAATGCCGCTGTCATGAGGCCCTCCCTCCTTGGTAGCCATTGGTCGCGCCTGACCTATCATCGATTAGGCTTCCCTCCTCTCCTGGTCTCCTGGTAGGAGCACTCCTTGACTGATCTGCCATCGATTAGGCTTCCCTTGAGCGCTCCTTGACGAGCTTAACAAAGAGAATGCGAAAAGTTGACGAGTGTTTGGACCACACTCCAGCTGCATCACGATCGTCTTGGGCGCCCTTCAACTCACACAGGAAGAAAGCGTGTTCAGGCTCCGGTCACTCACCCCCTTGAGCCGAACTAATTGTATTGATTGACAAAATGTTTTCTTATTTTTCCTGTTGCCCCTTGGGCTCTTGACCTGTACTCCCTTGTATATGGAATGAAAGCAGTACTAACTGAATTTCGTCAATAAAAAAATTAGCCATTGCAGGCCATGGGTGGGCTATTCATGCGAGGATATACCATCAAGACTGCCAGTATCAGCATCAGATACTCCCTCCGTCCCATAATATAAGACGTTTTTTAACACTACCCTAGTGTCAAAAGGTATCTTATATTATGGGACAGAGGGAGTATAATCTTATATTCCACATTTGTTTGGTTGATCAAAGGTTTGAATTTGCAGGTCTGAAAATTCTTTCAAAAAAGGAACAATGACATCATTACAACACAACAACACTGATTATAAATACTCGTTGTAACTCTTGCAAATGTAAAAATATGCCTGTCATCCAGATGGAACATTGCTTAGTAAGCGTTACAACTCAATAGGTATAGTATCATCCTTGCACGCATTGACCGGTGCCCAGCCACTATACTTTTCAGATGTCCTTTATCCAAAGGAGCACTGCATGAAACAAACCATCCATCAATCTTTTGCAGAGGCAAGGCAGGTTTTGCCATAAAGTGTTAAGTATAGAAAAGAAAGAGCCAAGGCACCACAAGTCCACAACTCTTACCACAATAAAGTTCACTATAGTTAACACGTCATGGTGTTCATGCAAGTTAAAGGGCCACCAATATAAACATGTAGGAATCCAAGTGAAGATACTCACAAAATCAGGGACAGGGATAGGCTTCAAGGACAGGGATTACGATCTACTGCCTCCGTCCTGGTTTATAGGTCCCCTTTGTAGTTTGTGCCAAATTTTGACCAAAGATTTAACTAACAAAATGCTAATGCATGTCAACAAAAAATATACAGTTGGATTCGTATTTGAACATAGTTTTCAATGTAATAATTTTTTGTGACATGCATGAATATTTTGTTAGTTCAATCTATGGTCAAAATTTGGCACGAAATACAATGGGGACCAATAAACCAAGACCGAGGTAGTAGTGTCTAGCATGCGCACATTTATGGCGATGGGAGGCCAAAGGGGATGTTCAATGCAAGCTAGCTAAATGAGGAAGTAAAAGAAACATAAGCAAACTCACAATTGAACACTCTCAAGTCTGCTCTATAGGATCAGATAGACGGTGCACTGTGCTGATTGCCACAGTTCTCCGTATTGCGTAACTGATACTGATTGAAATTTTTGGTTGATTATATACCCTATATGTTATGGCAGCATCACTCCAAGCATAGTTGGCACTATTCAAGTGGTTCCGGTCACAAGATCAAAAGTCAAGCAATTGCACCTGCAGATAGTGAGATGGTGGATCTTCTCCTACTTGAGTTGCAACAATCTAAAGTTCACAAAACTGACCGCAAGCTGATATCTCTCCACTTTGTGTTACTTTTGAAAAGACGGGCGTTGTCAACGCCAGGTTGTAAAGAGAAACAAGGCGTGTCAATTCTACCGACCCAATACTATGTTCAGGAGCTGCATCAATCAGTGGGATTTTGTAATAGGCCGAGCATTATTCACTAGGAGCAGGTGGAGTGGAATACAAAAGGTAACCTAATAGAGTTAAATAATACCCAGAGAAGAAAGAGACTTGTGAGCTTTGTTCCTCCCCTAGGGTTAGAGCTTCTGAGCCACTCTAGGATTGGGGGAGTTCCTCCACCATTGTTCATATAACCACTTTGTTTGCAAGAACCAAAGTGTGGCAATGTGAACCAAGCATGTTGTTGGAACACATCCATCAAGCAACTAGGGGTACAAATTTAAAGTTATGAAGATATTAGTTATCATTCCAAATAGATGAATCATAGCCTTAAGAAAAAGAAAATGAAAAATAAATCAAAACAAGTTTATTTGAATACATTGGAAACCAACCAGTAACAACCCGAAATTGGCTATAAGCAAGGACTTGGACATAATAATAAAAAATATCAACCAAGTCCTGGATACTGCTTCCAGCCTTCTACTGCTTCTTTATTTATATTTATTTAAAACAGGCCTTCCACAAAGTCACCAGAAACAACTACATGGTAGAACAATGTTTCTTTATTCCACAACTTTTCTCCATGGAATCATATGGGCAAATGGGTTTCATCTCCATAGGAGAAAGAAAGATTGCTTCAGACACCTATACCTGGATAGGAGTGCAGACAACATAGAGAAGTACAAGATGGCGAAGAAGGCCGCAAAGCGAGCTGTTAGTGAAGCAAGGGGTCGGGCATATGAGGACCTCTACCAACGGTTAGGCACGAAGGAAGGCGAAAGGGACATCTATAAGATGGCGAAGATCCAAGAGAGGAAGACGAGGGATATTGGCCAAGTCAAATGCATCAAGGACGGAGCAGGCCAACTCTTGGTGAAGGACGAGGAGATTAAGCATGGATGGCAGGAGTACTTCGACAAGCTATTCAATGGGAAGAATGAGAGTTCTACCATTGAACTGGACGACTCCTTTGATGAGACCAGCATGCGTTTTGTGCGGCGAATCCAAGAGTCTGAGGTCAAGGAGGCTTTAAAAAGGATAAAAGGAGGCAAGGCGATGGGCCCTGATTGTATCCCCATTGAGGTGTGGAAAGATCTTGGGGACATAGCGATAGTATGGCTAACCAAGCTTTTCAACCTCATTTTTCGGGCAAACAAGATGCCAGAAGAATGGAGACGGAGTATATTAGTACCAATCTTCAAGAACAAGGGGGATGTTCAGAGTTGTACTAATTACCGTGGAATTAAGCTGATGAGCCACACAATGAAGCTACGGGAGAGAGTCATTGAGCACCGCTTAAGAAGAATGACAAGTGTGACCAAAAATCAGTTTGGTTTCATGCCTGGGAGGTCGACCATGGAAGCAATTTTCTTGGTACAACAACTTATGGAGAGATATAGGGAGCAAAAGAAGGACTTGCATATGGTGTTCATTGACTTGGAGAAGGCCTATGATAAGATACCGTGGAATGTCATGTGGTGGGCCTTGGAGAAACACAAAGTCCCAGCAAAGTACATTACTCATCAAGGACATGTACGATAATGTTGTGACAAGTGTTCGAACAAGTGATGTCGACACTGATGACTTCCCGATTAAGATAGGACTGCATCAGGGGTCAGCTTTGAGCCCTTATCTTTTTGCATTGGTGATGGATGAGGTCACAAGGGATATACAAGGAGATATCCCATGGTGTATGCTCTTTGCAGATGATGTGGTGCTAGTTGACGATACTCGGACGGGGGTAAATAGGAAGTTAGAGTTATGGAGACAAATCTTGGAATCGAAAGGGTTTAGGCTTAGTAGAACTAAAACCGAGTACATGATGTGCAGTTTCAGTACTACTAGGTGTGAGGAGGAGGTTAGCCTTGATGGCCAGGTGGTAGCTCAGAAGGACACCTTTTGATATTTGGGGTCAATGCTGCAGGAGGATGGGGGTATTGATGAAGATGTGAACCATCGAATCAAAGCCGGATGGATGAAGTGGCGCCAAGCTTCTGGCATTCTCTGTGACAAGAGAGTGCCACAAAAGCTAAAAGGCAAGTCCTACAGGATGGCGGTTCGACCCGCAATGTTGTATGGCGCTGAGTGTTGGCCGACTAAAAGGCAACATGTTCAACAGTTAGGTGTGGCGGAGATGCGTATGTTGAGATGGATGTGTGACCACACGAGGAAGGATCGAGTCCGGAATGATGATATACGAGATAGAGTTGGGGTAGCACCAATTGAAGAGAAGTTTGTCCAACATCGTCTGAGATGGTTTGGGCATATTCAGCGCAGGCCTCCAGAAGCTCCAGTGCATAGCGGACGGCTAAAGCGTGCGGAGAATGTCAAGAAAGCGCGGGGTAGACCGAATTTGACATGGGAGAAGTCCGTTAAGAGAGACCTGAAGGATTGGAGTATCACCAAAGAGCTAGCTATGGACAGGGGTGCGTGGAAGCTTGCTATCCATGTGCCAGAGCCATGAGTTGGTTGCGAGATCTTATGGGTTTCACCTCTAGCCTACCCCAACTTGTTTGGGACTGAAGGCTTTGTTGTTGTTGTTGTTGTTGTTGTAATCAGATGGGCAAATGATAAACCTGAAACGACACAAGGTCGGTGCTATGTACTCCCTTCGATCCAAAATAAATGATGTGGTTTTTGTTCAAATTTAAACCAAGACCATGACACTTATTTTGGATCGGCGGGAGTATATCTTTAATTTTTTGTGCAAATTATGAACATATAGAATGGCTCAGTGCACTAAAAACATGCTGTGTCACTGTACTTCCAGGGCCCATGTGATTATTTAAAATTAAAACTATCATGTAATCTGAAAAGGAACTTACAGTCTTGTTCTACAGGGCTCAGCCCGGTACAACCCAATAGAGCTTTACTTGTGAAGAATACCCTTCTTTTGTGTTTTAGGTTTCTTCTGAATATGATTCTGAAAGATGGGAAATATGAAAAAAAAATTAGAGCGGACAAGAAGAAACGCGGACTTGGCTAAAGAAGGAAACATGGTATAAACCTTTTGTCTTTGTAGAGCCTCGACATCTGTCCTCTCCTTCCAATTGCTCTTACGCAATTTAATAGGGCGATTCCCAACATACTTTCCTGAGAAAAGTGAGTTCCAAACAAAATAAGTACAAGTATATAACAGTAAACCAGAGCATGTTGATAAGTGACAGCAAGTGAATCAATAGAGCTCATTGGAAATGCTAACCATTCATTTCTTTTATTGCTGCAGCAAGGTCTGTAGGGTTTGAAAAACTGACGAATCCATAACCTTTTGTTTTGCCAGTCCTCTTATCTCTAACAACCTATAAGAAAGGGTGGTCATATACATCAGGTGCAAGCCAGATTTTGCAGATAGGAAAAAGCACACCCCAGCTACGTGTAACTCAATATCTTGGTCAGCCTTAAACAGATCATGAAAGTTTAGTCTGTTTAGATAGTCCAACTGAACTACCAAAGCCTTATAGCTATATAGGTGAGGACCATGTTGTACGAAATCTATGAAACTGTGTAGCTTAGCCTAATAAAAGAATACACACACGCGCGCGCATACACCTAGGAGTACATACTCCCACCACCAAACTGCCCTCGCCAACGCAATATCGGGTGGCCCCATGCATGCCTGTTTAGCCTTTTGTTTTAAATAAACTACATAATTAACCACAGTCCAAGTCCCCTTTGCATGGATAAGGCTTACTTCCAAAATTGGTCTCGTGATAGTAGGGATTCTTATTGTGCATTGTTTGCCAAAATTAATACCAGGCAAGGCGGTTACTCGTCCGACTGTGCTCATCAAGACGATCTCCGTCGGCATCATGAGACCCGGCAGTGTGCGCCTCATCCCGCGGCCATCAGCGTGTCTAGGTGGGATGGTAGCTGCGGCAGCTGAGGCGGCAACAAATGTCTTGGATGGCAAATTGCAAACGAAAGCTGTTGCTAGAGACGTGAGAAATATTCTGGCCCTTAATTCCAATTGAGTAGGTTGGATGCATGAGGTATTCTTGCTAATTCGCTGCATTCATCTACTACTTATCCCGTTCGATACAGATCAGAGTCGAGAAATCGTGCAGTCGGGCTGCTCAATAGCATACATGAGAAGGCTCCACGAGAAGTCCTGCGGCGTCTCGACGAGAAGGCTCCACGGCGATGACGGCATGCGGCTAGTGATGGGCGATGAGGACGACATGAGGGCAACGACTGTTGTACGATGATGATGGACATGATCCACGTGGCTGCACACCGATGATGATGGATCATGGATGCATTTTGCATGGGATGGCAGCCAAATCTTGAACATGGAGCGCTGACGGGTGGCCATGCATGCATCGTAGCGCTCCACGTTCCTTTGGATCTCATATGCACAGGAGAGACTTAATGGCACAAAGATGATAGCAAGATGATTGCACGCTAAATGTAGCTATGCGGAGTAAGCGTATCACTAAGGTGCACAATGAGCGTGGCCCGACAATTTTCAACTCACTGGTCAATCGACGCCAAAATGGAAGCTCAAATGGAGAAGCTCAAAGCCCTCATCAAGACCGCCAAGAGATCTTCCTCATCTTCGAGAAGACGCTCAAGTACACATGCTTCCGGCCTAACATCTCCGGCAAGGTCACATCGGCATTGACACCATCAACGACAAGAACGTGAAGGTCAAGAGCTCAACACCAAACACCGCTCTACGACTTCACCATCTACCTTGGCATCTTCGCCAAGCGACTTCAAGGCATCTTTGCCTCTAGACATGTGGCATCTTCGCCGACAAGCACCTCAAGATTACGCTCAAGTGAAGCTCCCCAAGCTCAAGTCCGCGACTTCCACGAGCTAGACCTCAACACCGACCAGATCCATCCGTACGAGGCTTGTTTGAATCCCCTTCCTGCCCGTTAGTTCCTTTCTTTGATCCTCTCTTGATGCGGAGCATCCTACGGACATCACCATGCCAAGAGTCCGTTTGGCAAGTGACACGCGCGACATCTACTTCACACACATAAAGGTGAATCATCTCCCTTACACGTGTTCACTTGACCCCTTTGAGGATGGTATACTACTTGACACTCATCTCGTGTGCATGCATAGGTATTACCGGAGCTTCACCATCAACAAGGAGGAGGGCGAGCGCATGTGTACGCCTACACCATCCGTGAGGGAAGCATGGAAGAGAAGACGGAAGAAACGAGAAGATGGAGCGGCTGCTAGAAACAGGTCGGACATCCGGGTCCCCTCCCGGATCATCAGGGCTTCGGCCGGATCATCTGAACGAGCTCCCGGATCATCCGGCTAACTGTGTCCGTAGACACCCGAAGGCTTCCACCTGAAGCCAAATCATCCGGGACTCTGTCCGGATCATCCGGCCTTGCCTGTGTGCAATGCGGCCCAAGTGGCCTTGTATCCCCTCCTCACTTACCCATTCATGGCTAGGACTATAAATAGACCTCCCCCTCCTCATTTCTAGGGTTAGCAAAGTTATAGCTCATTCTAGTTGAGCTTTGCTCCTTACCTCTACTCCTCTCGAGAGAGAGAGAGAGACTCCCATGGAGTTCATGGCCTCCATGTGAGAAGATCCCGAGGGTTTCAAGGCCCCCTTGCAAGAAGGATCTACCTAGATCATCAAGACTTCATCTCCTCTTAGATTTGGGATGAACTCTACCTTGTATCTTTCCCTTTGATTGTTCATGTACCTTGTGGATCCTGTGTGTTTGTTGGTCTAGTGGATGTGTGGTTGGACTTGTTCTTGAGTGTTCCTCTTGTGATTTCCCCCTCTTGTTCCTCGTGTTCTTCGAGTTCCTCCTCGTAGCCCCCTCCAATTCGTGAACATCAAGACAAATCGGGTACTTTGGCCCGTACACTACATCATCTTGGCATCATGAGCCACGTTGACACGAATTTGGAGCCCTACCCCCCCCCCCCATGTTCTAGCCTAATTTTGTTTGACTTCATCACAATTTGAAAATCCCCACCAAAAATAACCTCACCAAAAATTTTGCATTTTGTTGGTTCTTGTGACATATTGTTGTGTTTGATCCACGATTTTGTTGTTTGGCAAGTGGATCTTGGCTTTCCCCACCTCCCCACCATGAAATCCCTCCAAGAAATTTCTTTCCCCGTCAATTTTGACCCCCTGAAATCAGAAATTTCCGCCCAAATCGCGTCCCCAAGAGGAAATCCCGAGCAGTTTGACCTGCCCGGATCATCCGGACATCCTCCGGATCAGCTGGACGTCCGGGAGAGGGTCCAGCTAACCCACGCACCCAAACATCAGCACCCGAGTTGACAAACTCGGATCATCCGGACCTACTCCCAGATGTCCAGCTACTCCTGACATGACTAAATTCTTGTTTCGGTCATAACTAATTCATCTGGAGTCCAATTTTGACGTTCTTTAGCTCGTTTTGTAGCTATTGATATCCCACAAAAATACTTCCATCACCATTTGACTCCACCAATTTGTGTGTATTTTGGCATCTTTGCATAGGCCATCCACCAAACTTCCGTACCAGAACCCCAAACTTCCGCAACCTAACCCATTTCGATCCCCATTGCATTTGTGGTTGCTTGAGTTGTGATTCGGGTCTTCTAAGGTGTTTCAGCTACTTAGGGACGGTTACTTCTTCATCAACCACCACCATACCATTCCACCAACTTACCCCAATTTTGTTTTGAGATTTTGAGTTGTGGTTTTCCGTTTCCTAAGGTGTTTCGGCTAATTAGGAACGGTTTCTTCCTCTGCCACTCATCATCGCCACGGACTCAACAACGACCACTTCACCTTTTGACGCTGCAATCGTAAGCAAGGACGGTAACCTCGACAACACCATTGTACATTTCCTTGCCATTGCATTGATAGCCCCGAGCCTATTGCGTACCTTTCCCATTGAGACTAGCGAGTTGAAAATTGTCAGGCCACGCTCATTGTGCATCTTAGTGATACGCTTACTCCGCATAGCTACATTTAGTGTGCAATCATCTTGCTATCATCTTTGTGCCATTAAGTGTCTCCCGTACATATCTTACATACTTGTCTCATATCTTGGCTCGAGCATCAAGCATAGTGGCAAAGCATACAAAAAAAGACAAAAAAGCTTTTAAGCAAAAGAGGAGATACAAAAGAGCATGTAAGCAATAGAACTAGCATTGAGCCATTTTGCATGGTACATATTGGATCATACATGCATAGCATACTTGGGACTGAAGACGGCACGTTTACTGTCATAGGTTGGTGCACAAGCATATCTAGCCCATTTGAGCAATCGAGCTATCGTCTCTCTAGTATCCGTGCAACACGAGCTTTTGCGTGGTTACACATTTTGTGCTCATTCCTTGGTTGCGTGAATCCCACTTATCTATCCGTGTGTGTGTTCCTTGTGCCACAATATAGCTATTGATCTATTTTGCTTTATTGCGATTTTGTGAATGTTCCTCGACCTTATTGATATCATTGACTAACACTTGCTTGAATTTCCTACCTACCTTTGCTTGAGTCTTGTGATGGATAGGCAAGCACATCTAGTTCGGTCTACAACCACAGCGACGAGTTCGATGCCACGAAAAACTTCATTGACGCCAAGATGGATCTCATCAAGACCGCCAAGAGATCTTCCTCATCTTCGAGAAGACGCTCAAGTACACATGCTTCTGAGCTATCATCTCCGGCAAGGTCACATCAGCATCGACACCATCAACGACAAGAACGTGAAGGTCAAGAGCTCAACACCGACCACCGCTCTACGACTTCACCATCTACCTTGGCATCTTCGCCAAGCGACTTCAAGGCATCTTCGCCTTTGGACATGCGACATCTACGCCAACAAGCACCTCAAGATTACTCTCAAGTGAAGCTCCCCAAGCTCAAGTCCACGACTTCCACGAGCTACTACGACCTCGACACCGTCCAGATCCATCCGTATGTGGCTTGTTTGAATCCCCTTCCTGCCCAATAGTTCCTTTCTCTGATCCCCTCTTGATGCGAAGCATCCTACGGACATCACCATGTCAAGAGTCCGTTTGGCAAGTGAAACGCGCGACATCTACTTCAAATACATAAAGGTGAATCGTCTCCTTTACACGTATTCACTTACCCCTTCGAGCATGGCATACTACTTGACACTCCTCTCGTGTGCATGCATAGGTATTATCGGAGCTTCACCATCGACGAGGATTGCGAGCGCATGTGTACGCTTACACCATCTGCGAGGGAAGCATGGAAGAGAAGACGGAAGGAATGAGAAGAAGACGGAGCGGCTGCTAGAGACAGGCCGGACATTCGGGTCCCCTCCCGGATCATTCGGGCTTCGGCCAGGTCATCTGGACGTGCTCCCGGATCATCCAGCTAACTGCGTCCGAAGACACCCGAAGGCTTCCACCCGAAGCCAAATCATCTGGGACTCCGTCCGGATCATCGGGAAGATGCCCGGATCATCCGGCCTTGCCTGTGCGCAATGCGGCCCAAGTGGCCTTGTATCCCCTCCTCACATACCCCTTTGTGGCTAGGACTATAAATAGACCTCCCCCTCCTTATTTCTAGGGTTAGCAAAGTTATAGCTCATTCTAGTTGAGGTTTGCTCCTTACCTCTACTCCTCTTGAGAGAGAGACACACTCCCATGGAGTTCAAGGCCACCATGTGAGAAGATCCCGAGGGATTCAAGACCCCCATGCGGGAAGGATCAAACTATATCATCAAGACCTCATCTCCTCTTGGATTTGGGATGAACTCTACCTTGTATCTTTCCCTTTGATTGTTCATGTACCCTGTGGATCTTGTGTGTTTGATTGTCTAATGGATGTGTGATTGGACTTGTTCTGGAGTGTTCCTCTTGTGATTTCCCCCTCTTGTTCCTCGTGTTCTTCGTGTTCTTCGTGTTCCTCCTCGTAGCCCCCTCTAATTCGTGAATATGGGGACAAATCAGGGTACTTTGGCATGTACCCTACATTACCTCTCGTCTTTTGTTATTTACTCACAGTTGCAGTTGATTGCAGCCGATTCCATGGGCGCGGCGGCGCTAGCGGGGATGGACGAGCTGAGCATGCCACTGCACGCATTGGGGGGCCTGGAGGCGCCACACAACATCATTGAAGGCCACCGGCGGACGACGGGAGGAGCGGCGCATAAGGGGCGGTGCAGAGCAGCGAATACTATGGAGGTTCGTTGGAGAGGAAGCGCTGAAGGCGGCAACCGGCGGTGGGTGTTCGTGTGTGTGTGATGCATTTGTGTGCAGCGTGCGTTCTTGTGTGTGTGGCACAATGTGTGTGTGTGTGTGTGCTTTACGCGTGTGTGCATTTGTGCGTTAAGTCTGTCTTCCTCTTAGTTTCTTCCCCTTTCTCTTTTCATGTAAGTTTTGGACACATGGTGCTAGAAAAAATAGTGTTACGCACTTCATATATAACCGCAAGGGAGTTCAAAAATAAGAACTTGGATACTTCAAAAAACGCAGAACTATCAAGGCACTTCTGCGATCGGAAATGGGCTTTCTAGACCAATTTCCGACACACGTTGAATTTTCATTGGTGGCTTGGGTGGATTTAACCAAAATCTTGGTGTGACATAATTTGTGGCTGTTTTTTAACAGCGATACTTCATTTTGGTAAGTGTCTAATTGAGTTTGACTTGTTCCATGTCTATGGATTGTCTCATTCGATGTCTTGACATGCTTTTGCTACTTATGATTCACGTTCATGTTATTTAGTTCTTGTCAAGTATGAGTATGACTTGTGAGTACGAAAGTTCTCATCGGGGATTCCAATCCTAATATCTTTGCAGGTGAGTCCAGCATAAGTGAGTACTTTGATTCCAGTCACGTAGGCAATGCCTAGTTGTTAGGTCACTCGGTTCGTTAGCTCAATCCGGGTTGTTACTTTTGGGCGGCGTGGCATGGCTGTCATCCCATGTTTATCCTTTTATCATTGCCTTGTTATGACCGGCCTTAAAGCCGTTTGTTTGTAATTATCTACCTGCTCATGTTTTGCCCTTTGGATCCCAAATGTGAAGTCAAAAGGTAAGGGGAACAAAAGAATCCTGAAGCATGTACCTTTGGTGGAGGACAGAAAACGAAGACTGGAATTTCAGATGATTTGAGGAAAGAGGGTAGAGAGAGAGATCGAGTGAGAGCGCATTGGACTTCGCAAAGGAAAAATGAGGTTTGAGCTCATGTTAAGATTCGTATGGAATGGGAGGCATAGGAATGGAATTTAGTAGTCACAATCCTATGATCCAAAGGGCTTTCATAGGGGAAAAAATCCTTAGGTTTCAAATCCTCCAATGTTCCCATGAAAATTGTACAATCCAAAGAGGCCCTTTTAAATTATGTGAACCAATGTGGTCACTGGTGCATCAGAAATAATGTTCAACTTATGCTATCTTGATTTATATTATCTAACTTATGATCTAGCTAAATTCATTCCTAGGAAGTGTAAATTTTGGGTTGTACACTTGTCCAGGTTATTTTTTGTTGAGGACATATCTTTAGTTGGTGCAGAAGTGAAAGAGAAGCCGTTCAAGTACCCTCTCTAGTCTCAAAACCTTGTTACCAGGGATAAGTAGATTCAGAACTTTTACACTTGACCAAAATATCATTTTAGACATTTGAAACACATGGAAATTATTTTGTCAAGCAAAATACTGTCATGATATTAAACCTCTGTGTTATTTAGAAATGTAGTATTGTAACAGAAACTTGTGAATAAATTGAGACTGCGACACTGAACAGTGGAGAAATAATAAGAATTTAGTGGACTCGAGGAAGTTGTTACCTTTGCCATATTGAAGGAGGGGAACCGTGAAAAGGCTTTTGAGAGAACATCGTCATTAACTTCGTTACCTAGATCTCCACAAAACAACCTGTAGTCATCTGTAAAAAAAATCCAACAGAATGAGCAATTGGGGAAAGTAAATTTATGGATGAACTGTAAACTGAAAGAGTATGAGAGAGGATGTACTTTCGGGCCACTCGGTGAGGGTAGGATCCTCCCAGGACTGTCCGGCTGCACGACGAGGGATTGTCTTCTTCTTGGCGGCAGCGTTGGAGGAGGCGGAGGCCCTGGCAGCAGAGGGGTCGAGGACGTCGCTGGTGGCGAGGGCGGCCTTGACGCTCTCGAGCGCCTCGGGGGTGATGGTCTGCGCGTCCCGCTGGAAGAGCTGCTGCGCTTGCTGCAGCTGCTGGTACTGGTAGGTCGCCACCGGCTGCTGCTGCTGCAGGTGGAAAGGGAGCGGGAAATAGCTGCCCCCCGCCGGAAGCGCGGATGACGAAGAACCGGGAGGTGGAGGAGGAGGAGGATTAGGGTTCCGAGGATCCGACGACATCTGCTCCAATCCAATCACCCCGCAAAAAAAAAAAACAATCCTCGCTTTGAGAGAGGAGGCTTAGGGTTAGGGGTTCCTTCCTTCCCTGCCGACGCAATCAAAACGAAACTGGGATTGGATCCTCTCTTTTTTTTTCGCCCCCACTTTACCAGTCCGTTGATATAGCAATGAACTGCTTGGGTGCTCTTTTCTCGAAAAAAAAACTGGTTGGGCGTTCATTAGAAATTAGAATATCCCTAAAAAAATTAGATATTAGAAAATGTGGAATTTCCACAAAAAAACTGATATATTTCAACCATTATGACCTTTTAGCCACCCATTATAACATGTCAACCTTTTTCTATTTTCCGCATGCAAACAGGAAAGTAATTGATGATGTCAGCGGGAATTTTTTGGATTTTCAAATTTTTAAAATGTTTTATATCTCTTAAATGACAAATCTGACTGAAAAACCATTTTGACCATTAAATTCATCGCGACGAGAACTTCAAAACTAGATCCCACATCTATAAGTTTCAACGGTTTTTTGGCGGTCAAAAGTTGTCATATCTATTGCACATAAATTGTCATGATGTTTATACTGAAGTTGTCATGATATATTTCAACCAGTTTTTCTTCTAGGCTTAAATTAATTTTTGACATGTTATAAAAAAAAATTAAGGAACTAAACTTGCCATGATGAATTACTAAAATTTGCCACGATCCATGAAATAATTTTGACATGGTTCATAATTAAAAAGAAATCAGTTGTCAATTACTTTAAAAATGCATGGTCAATTACTTAGAATTGTCATTAAGCAAAAAGTAAAATTGGCATGTTGAATTACTTATACTTGCCATTATACATGCAAAAAAAATTGACATGGTTCATACAAAAAATAATTTCCTCGATCAAAATATTAAAATTGTCATGGTCAAAATACTAAAATTATCATGATCCATAAACTTAATTAGTTACTAAAAGTTGCCATGGTCAATTAATAAAATTTGCTGTGAAAAGTAGTTGAAATACAATGATAGTTTTAAATCTAGCAGAAAAATAGATTAAACACATGGCAATTTTAGTCTAAACGATATTGCAACTTTAGTGTAACATCATGGCAATTTTGGGCCCAATAAAAGAGTCGTCGAAACATATCAATATGGGATGTAGTTTGATTCGAGACGGATTTTAGTTTCCGTTACCATCTAGTTTTATCTCATCGAGACGAATTTAATAATGAAAATGGATTTTTAATCAGAATTTTTATTTAAGAGATAAAACATTTTAAGTTCGAACTAAAAAAGATTCCATTGTTGTCATTTGTTTGATGTGGCAAAATAGATGGTAATGAAGACGTTTGGACCATATTGCTTCGTGCCACACGTATGGCACTTATCATTTAAAAAAAAATAAAAAAAAGCTGGAATCTAAGAGAAAATTGCGTAAGCTTAGAGCAACTCTATCTGTGGCACCAAAATGCCTGGAAATGTTTAGACAGCGTGGTTTTTGTCCCTCCAACATCATGCACCAAACATCCGCGACGCGATCCAAACGTCCAAAAGTTCACAAATTAGAAGCAAAGTTGGTGGAGATTTGCGGCCATCCGGGCCTCCGCCACGTAGGCCTTAAACACCCTAGGCAGACGTGACGGGTCACTGTCGCATGTCAGCCATTCGGCCGTCATTCACATCAGTGTAGTGTTCGAGAAAGCTGTCGCGACACGCCACTCGCACCGTGTTAATGCCAATTTAGAGCATACGTGACCGAGTGGGACGATGAGACAGCTTCCTACTGCATTCAAGCGAGTTGGCCGTCTGTCCGCTTGCCCGGCATTCACGTTGGCGCAGTGAATGAGAAGTCAACTACGGTTGAACGCATTCAAGCCGTTGATCTGCCTGCACGGGCACCCTCTATTTAGAGGTAGTCGGCCAACTCTGGCGCGGCGAATGAGAAGTCAACTCCGGGTGAACGAGAAGTCTTTTATCTATTACCTTGAGAATTCTCCTCTTCAACCAAACCAGAACGTTGTAAATTGGATTTTTGCAAAGTGGGAGCCCCTTTTGAGGGTCCGGCTTGCACGCGCTGGCCTATGGTCGGTGCAGGCAACGAAGCTAGGGTATGCTTCTCAACACTTTTGTTTAAGACTTTTTTTAACAACGATACAAACAAAAAGGGAATCCAACCTTGAACGAGCTCAAACCGTTGGTCGCTTGTTTGTTTTACAGTGGAGGACGGTGTACCTGGATGCAGCACCTAAACCAACTACAAGGGGTCTAAATAATGATGTAGCCCCTGAGTCTAGAAAATAGGAGGATCTCTTTATACTCTCCCTTTAAACGTTTCGCATGAGGGTCAGTACGGTCGTGTGCATGTTTTAGCAATCACAAATTTTGGAAATGGAGAAAAGGTGATTTTTATGGAACACCTTTATTCATAACTTTATATGGTCGAGCTAAAGGACGATAATTATAAGTGCATCTAGTGCCCCTTAGTGATTTTGGTGTACTGAAGACTTATAGGTTAAGGGACTAATGTGTTTGTGAGTGTACACAGGGTCTATAAGTCTAATGAGGAGTTTGATATTTACGATGAAAGTCGACCCCTAAAAATGAATGTCTTCATTTGAAGACTTTGAAAATGAGGAAATTGGTGTGACCTTGAAGACTTCGATATTGATGCGAGGATTATGAAGCGTGAAGACTTTTATTTTCATAGTTTCATTTTCTCTTTCTTGAGTCATGGGAAACACCGTACTGTTAAAGGGGGTCGAGGTAAAACTAAGGAAACAATTTCCAAGTGATGCACATCTCAAAGCCTACACATACCTAATCCTTTCGAGTGAAGCCATTGGAAATCTCATACAATTTAGTCAATATTTTTAGTGACAGAGATGAAGATCTTCTGGTCCTTGAGGAATTTGTTTTGACTGAGGAGTTAGGAATTCGCCAGTGCGGATTGCCTACGAGTGGGGAACATGATAGCCCTGAGGAATTTGAGAGCTCAAATTTTCCGACCGTTGTTGTGCTACGCGCCAGCTGTCCCAAAATATCCTATCCACCTAACGGTCATATCATTAAAGGGCATTTATGTCTTATCATACCGGGCTGCTCCCCGGCTATAAATAGCCGCCCCCTACAACCACTAGCTGGTTGGATGCTCGGTGAGAAACTGACACTTGTCATTGAGAGCATCACATCCTCCGAGGACTTTGAGTGAAAAACATCAAGTGAGGAAAACCCAAACCCAACACCTAAAACCCAAAGTGATTGAGCATCACTGAAGAGACTGTTCCTGTGTCGAACCGGCACTTGTTACCTTTGAAGACATATGCATCTTCTAGACGGTTAGGCGTCAAGGTCTAGAGCATCCAAGAGGAATTGTGGATCGTCGGGTGACCTAGTCTGTGAAGGTTTGGAAGTCACCTTAAAGACTTACCACGAGTGATTGGGTGAGGTCTATGTGACCTTGGCTCAAGCAGAATACGGTGAGGACTGTGTGTCTAGGACTGTGTTTCCTCAGGTTTAAATACCTAGCCTCTCCAACCAGATGTACAGCTGTCACAACAGTTGGAACTGGTCTACCAAATCATTGTATTCACCGAGGTACCGGTTCTATTTCCTCAACCCTTTCATTTCCTCATTCATGTGTTGATGAACATGATCATTACTGTTTGAAGAGTTTGACTGAAGACTTTATCAATTTCCTCAATCATATTTCTTCAGTCATCTTATCTTCTACCTGCTTATCATGTTTACACGCTACCTATGCTCTGTGCTTGTTTCATATCATCATGATGACTGTGTTACTACCATGTTATGCTTGCACCTGAGTACTTATTCCGCTGCTTGTAGTTTTTCACTTAGCAAATTCCTCAAGTTGTATTTCCTCAATGACAAATTTGTAAAAATCACTTATTCACCCCCTCTAGTCGATATAACGCACTTTCAATTGGTATCATAGCAAGGTACTCCCTTGTTTTGTGTGATTTTGGTTTAACCACCTGGAGTTTTAGTTATGTCGATTGCAGGCATGATCAAGGTCTCGGTTGGGTGTCCTACCTTCGATGGGACTGACTACCCCTACTGGAAGAATAAGGTGCGCATGCATCTTGAGGCAATTGACAACGATCTCTGGTACATTGTGGAAAATGGCGTTCCCTCCATCACTCCTTCCGTGAACGCTGCTGATGTGAAGAGATTCAAGCAACTCGACTCTCAAGCAAAGAATATCATATGTGGCCATCTGAGCAAAGGACAGTTCGGCATAGTGAGTGCTTTGGAGGCTGCAAAGCTTATCTGGGATAGGCTGTCCAAGGTCAACGAAAGAGTCTCAACTCAACGTGACTCTCAAGTTGACGTTCTTCGCAACCTCTTCAACCGCTTCAAAAGACTCGACAACAAAAATGTTCAACAAATCTTTGATCACCTCACTAACATCTCAAATGAGTTTCAAGCACTTGGTGCAACTGAGATCACCGACCATGAGGTGGTGAAGAAATTACTAAGATCACTTGATTCCTCATTCGACGCACTGGCACTGATGATTCAAGAACCTGGAGACTACAAGTCACTAGATCCTACTAATATCCTTGAGAGGGTGAACACTCATGAATTCCAACAAGCTGAGAAGAGAGATCTTGATGTAGGGTGGAACCCTATGTGGACGATCTTTCACGTTTGGAGTGGATCCTACGGGAATTCACTAAGAACACGCGGAAACACAAAGGGGAAACACGGGGAAAACGAGAGAGAGAATCACTAAACCGACATAGAATCAATCACACGAGTGCTAGATCACCGACAACATAGAGTAACCTATGATCCACAATCAACCAAGGTAAGGATACAAAGGAATAGATCTTCTCTGTACGGAGGTCTTGATGGTCTTCCCTAGAAAGGGGTATTGAATCCGCTTGGGGGATCTTCTCGGAAGAGGTCCTGAGCTCCGAGGAGAAGTAGCCAAGTGGATGAGCAAGGCTCTCACACAAAATATGAGCTAAACCTATGCTAACCCTCAC